GCCCGCCGGAGGAGCCCCGGTCACCACCGCCTGCGGCCTCGGCACCGCCTTCGGCTACCAGTCGGCGCAGAAGTCCGTCACTCTCAACACCCAGTCGGGTCAGGGCTGCAAGCGGTGGGGCTGGTACGCCACGCCGACGCTCGCCGAGCTGCAGGGCGGCATCAGCGGCCCGCTGTACGTTGGCGCGGGCAACAACGACATCTCCAAGGCGACCGATGTGGGCGTCTGGGTGGCCACCGCGGACCCCGTCGGCCGCGTCACCGTCACCTACCTGCTGAACCCGCCGTACGCGCTCGCCGAGATCCACGTCGACCTCGCCTGCCTGCCGATCGACAAGTGCGCGCCGGGCCAGTATACCTTTGGCAAGGCCGGCTTGGCGGATGTGCCTACTTACGCGACGGCTCCTCTCGCCTACCCAACATGCAGTGGAGGTGCGAAGGCTGCGCTGATTGTGCATGCCGCTGTGGATGTGATGGTGACGGGCACTGTCTGCCCGCCGAAGACGGATTAGAGGGTTTGTGTGGACCTAGATACATGACAGATAAAGGGAGTAATTAATGTGATTGTGGCTGCTTTATGAAGTACTATTGGCACTCATGAGATGTCGGCAGACAGTAACGCGAAAACTCAGGGGATATGACCGAAACCGAAAGCGGCGCAGCTGAATCGCCCAGCCAGCCACGCAGTCTCTTGCATGCAAGTGATTGGCGTGTAAACCGAACCCCTGTCTTTCTGTTGGTGACTTGTCGAATTAACTTGACTTCACTTCACAAACAAACAAACTTCACCGACCACCTCACTCTCACTTCACTCTCGCCCAAGTCCCTCCCTCCCATTGAGCTCACTCAGGCTCACTCCTCGACACCATGCCCAAAATAGCCATGCCCAACGCGGAGACGGCCATCCTCGGCGCCCTCGCGGGCATTGGCGCCGGTGTAGTGCTTGTCTTCCTCTACTCCACCGCCCAATTCCTCTCCTTCCACTTCATCACGCCCTCCCAACCCCTCAAAAAATACAAACGCGCCAACACCGACGCCTACGCCCTCATCACCGGCGCCAGCGCCGGCATCGGCTTCGGCATCGCCAAAGCCCTCGTCGAGCAAGGCTTCGGCGTGATCCTGCTCGGCCACCTCCCCGACGAGCTCGAAACCGCCGCCACCACGCTCCGCGCCCTCCGCCCCTCCGCCCCGGCCACCCTCGTGCGCACCCTCCCCATGGACGCGCGCACCGCCACCCCAGAAGAGATGCAGACCGCCCTCGCCTCCCTCTCCCCCCTCACCATCACCATCCTTATCAACAACGTCGGCGGCAACCCCATCGCCATCCCGCCCTTCCGCACCCACGCCACCTACACCCCCGCCGACGTCGACGCCGTCATCAACCAGAACGCGCGCTTCATGGCGCGGCTCACCGCCCTCCTCCTGCCCACCCTCTCCGCCCCGCCCCAGGGCAGCCATGAGCGCTCCCTGATCGTCAGCCTCTCCTCGGGCCGCGCACATCGGCCTGCCCTGGCTGGTGATGTACGGCGCGACCAAGGCGTTCAACCGCGCCTTTGGGGCGGGCATCGCGCGGGAGCTGGGGACGGACCCGGCCACGGCGCACGTGGATAGCGTGGTGGTGACGCCGGGGGAGGTGTGGAGCCAGGGGAACTGTCGCGGGGTGCCGCGGGGGGCGCCGACGGCGGAGCGGTTTGGGCGGGATGTGGTGCGGAAGGTGGATGGCGCGGTGAGCAGGGGGTGGCGGGAGATGCATGCGCATTGGTGGCATGGCGTGGAGGCGGCGCTGGCGGGGATTGCGCCGGAAGGGGCGCTCACGCAGGGGGTCACGGAGCAGGTGGCGGCGAAGAAGGAGGCGTGGAATGGGTTTTGGGAGAAGAACCGGTGAGAGGTCGAGAGGGGAGGTGGATGATGGTGGATGGGGAATGGGGGACGGTACAGTGTTGAGGATTAATGGATGCAAAACGGTTAATACAGTACGGTAATGGTATGATCGACTTATGGAGGGGGATGCCTCGAATGCAATCATAATACTCGCGGGTAATGAGGTGAATTTCTGATTACTTGCTCAGTAGCCGCTACATCATATCTCGTCATGGGTGTCATTCCCCCAGTTCTCGGGCCACACAGCCATGTCTATGCCCAAACCAACCCCAAACATACATCCCAAACATGTGCGGACGTCCAAAGAATGCTAATGTATAATACATGCTCAACCAACACCCCGCGCCATGCCATGCCACCCATGCCTTTACCAGGAGGACAACATTTGGCGTTAGCGCTTCCTGGTATCCCTCCCCTTCTTTCTGCCCCTCTTTTTGTCCTTGGGCAGCTCCAGCGGAGTGTTCTCGAGCGCCTTGGCCATGAACTGCAGCATGTAATCATCGATGGTGCGCATCCTCTCCCCGAACGCATTATGCTCCACCTCAACCCCCTGCTCGGCCTCCACCACCCCGTCCTCCGCCGACTCAGCAAACAGTCCCAGCCCCGACCTGCCCACGGCCGACATGAGCTCGGTGGTGCTCTCCCTGGGCGTGGCCTGCCCGACGCTCGACACGCCCGACGCGGGCTGCTGCTCGAGGAAGTCGGCATCGTCCTGCTGGATCTCCTTCTCCGCCACGCGCGCGGCCGCAACGTCCTCTTTATCCTCGGCCTGCTCCAGCACGCGGCCCGCACTGCGCGGGTTGCTGCTCTCGACGCCGCCGAGGATGCGGTCCATGGCCGCGTTTGCCGCGACGTCGTCCTCGTTGGCGAGCACCTCGCCATCGGTGCCGATGACGTCGCGCACCGAGAGCTTGTTGAAGTAGTCGGTCGTGAACTCGCCTTCTTGGATGACCACGTCGTCGAGCATCTGCTTCTGTCCGGCCTTGCGCAGGATGTTGGCCTCAATGGTGTGCTCGCTGACCAGCCGGTAGATGTGCACGTCGCGCGTCTGCCCGATGCGGTGGCACCGGTCCTGGCACTGCTTGTCCATGGCCGGGTTCCAGTCCTGGTCGTAGAAGATGACTGTGTCGGCCCCCGTAAGATTAATCCCCAAACCACCAGACCGCGTCGAAAGGATGAAACACAAAATGCGCGGGTCGTGGTTGAAGCGGTCCGTGAGGATCTGCCGTTGCTCTACTTTGGTCGCGCCATCCAGCCGGAGGTACTTGTGACCGTGAATGTTGAGGAACTGCTCAAGGATGTCCAGCACCTTGGTCATCTGCGTAAAGATCAGGGCGCGGTGGCCTCCAGCTTGCAGCCGGCGAAGGAGCTTGTCGAGGGTCTGCAGTTTGCCGCAGTCGTACTGGAGGAGACGTTTGTCGGGGAACTGAATCGACAGCCGCATGCGTGCTTCGTGCCACGGGTCTGCGGGTCGCTCCTTTGGCATGAACGGCGCGTACTTGACCGGCGCCGACAGCTTCAGGTCCGTCTCTACAAACGACTCCACTCCCTTCGGCCCCAACAATAGCCTGCCCATGTCGCCCGCCACGACGGCCGGCGTAACACAGGCAAACTTGCTGATGGTCGTCTCCATCGAGTCCGCCCGCTGCTGAAGCGTCGGGATGGCGTTGTGCAAGAGGTGCAAGTCCTCTTCGAACCAGCTCATGATCTTCTGCGGCACCTTGGGCCGTTGCTTGAAGGGCCGGCGGTGGGTATCCAGCGTCAGCATCTCGACGAGCCGCTTGCCGTAGATGGGTCGTTGCTGGCGACGGAGCGCGTTCAGATACACACAGTGCTGCAGCTCCTCGAAGCGGCCCCACCGCGCGGCGCTCTCTAGATACACCAGGTTGGACTTGACCGAAGCCGGGTCCAGTGCATGGTAGGCGTTATTGGCCCGCGTCTTCTGGGCCTCCCTTAGGTCGAGCAGGATGCGGTGGGTGCTGAGCTGCGAAATTCGGTCGGCGTCTGTGCTGGACATGCCCTCGTATTGCGTGGGGATCATGTTGAGAAAACTGAGGCTGACAGCTTCCATCGGTTTCACGGCTAATAACTTCTTCCTCACGAGCTGGTCGCGGACGTCAAAGTCCGAGGCAACCGACCGCTGCATGCGGAACGACGACATGATAGGTCGGTCGACGAACAAGTCTGGGTGGTTGCACACCTTCCGGAGTTGCATGAGGCAGTTGATGATGGACATGTAATTCCCTGAGTTCAGGGTTTCCCGTGTGTCGGCACGAGACAGGAAACCATCATACAGCTCGCGCTGGCGTTTGGAGAGCCGGCAAAACTCGACGTGTTCGTACTTTCCTGGCATCTGCTTCTCGACATCCGCCTTGAGACGGCGGAGCAGGTATGGCCGGAGAACCTTGTGCAGCTTCGAAATGATGGCACGCGCTTCGTCGTCTAACTGCTCCCGCCCGCTCTCAAGGATCTGTGATTCCGGCCTAGAGAACCAATTATGGAATTCCTTGAGGTCGACGAATCCGCCTTCGCCGTTCTCAGGGGGGGCTAGGAAGTAGAGCAGCGACCACAACTCGGTGAGGTTGTTCTGTAACGGAGTGCCGGTGAGGAGCAGCCGGGAATGCGTGTTGAAGCCGAGGAGTGTTTGCCAGCGTTGCGACTTGAAATTCTTGATGTTGTGGGCTTCGTCAAGAATCATGTAATGCCACTGTCTTCGCCGGAAGACTTGCTGATCCTGGAGAACCATTTGGTAAGACGTAATGCACACATTCCAGATATCATCGTTCTTCCACCCATGGCGTTTCCTCCTGCGTTCTTCTTGATTGCCATAATAAGTGAGGATCTTGAACCCGGGACACCACTTCTTGAACTCCATCTCCCAGTTGAGCATGACACTTGTGGGCACGATGACTAGGTGAGGGCCCCAGACTTCGTGATGGCAGGCCAGATGTGCCAAGAGTGCGATGGTCTGGATGGTCTTGCCGAGACCCATTTCATCAGCAAGGATGCCGTTCGTGTTATTAGCATAAAGGGCGGCCAGCCAATCAAGGCCGAGGTGCTGGTACTCGCGGAGCGTTCCCCGCAAGAGGAATGGTATCTCGGTTTTCGGCGCTGCGGGCTGTGGCGATGTGGATCTGCTGTCCGTCTTGGGCGGATTAAGCAAAGACACTGAGGTAGGCGTCTCCGCATCGGTCGGCTTGGTGTCGTCGGATGCCCGTGGCGACTGACTTCCGGACGGACTATGTACTATGGTGATCGGCTCGGTTTCCGGGCTTTGGTGCGTTATTGATGGGATCAGAAGCGCCTCGATCTTCTCAGTCCTTTCCAAGCCTCCTAGAGCATCCGTCATTGGCATATCCTCCTCTTCATCGACTATGGTCGCAAGGGGTATGCTTCCTAACAATGGTGTAGCCGGGCCCGTCGACGCGCCATTCACGGTAGCCACCAAGGATGGCTGTGCTGCAACATCCAGCATGCCAACCCCTTTGGAAGGCTCCTGGCTGTGTTCCTTGCCAGACAGGGCCGAAGACGAAGGGCCCTGCCCTGGTACCGTTACTGCACCGGGCGTTTCGGTCGCCACTAGTTGGTCAGTCCCCTTCGCAGCCCCCTCATCATGGTCGTGGCCGTCGACTTCCACTTCGGGGGTCGGGGCAACATCGACATCAACCATTTCGACGTCTTGTGTAGGGGGTTCTTCAGCAGCAGCCTCATCCTGCAGCTTCTTCAGCTCTGACTTTCCGAACAAAAGGCCGAGGAGCCCGCCGGGTTCACCTTCAGACTCCTCGGCTTCATCGTTGCTATGTTCATCGCCATCCTCCTCCGATTCCTCCTCGGTCGACCCCAAGTCATCATCCATATCGATCGACTCGTCGCTGGTGTCATCAAAATCGGGAGCTGGAGTTGTAGTTTCGTCTCCAAGGGCCGCTCCCTCTGAACCCGTCTTCTGTTCAGATGAGGTATCCAAGGCTGGCAGATCAGCGTACTTCTCCAGCAGCTGTTCTTGTGTAAGGCCCTCATCTGACAACTCGGATTGTTTGTCTTCATCGTCATCCGAGGACGACATATTATCTTCGTCGTCAACATCCACTTCCGCCATATCGTCGGAGGGCTCCGAGTCGCCATCCAACCCATCTTCGTCATCCCCATCCGAGACCATGTCGTCGGTCAAGTCTTCGTCGGAAAGTTCCTCGGTATCGAAACGAGTCTGTCTAGCCTTGAGCTTTTTCTCCGAGGCACTGACAGCCATGTTGAGAGCCGCCTTGACTCGCCGTTGCTCCTCTGCTTCCCATTCCGCCAACCGCGTGCGGTTCACCTCCGCCCTAACGTTTTCCCAGGTACCCACGATTACCCTGTTGACTTGTCGCCACCTGGCCTTGCTCTGATCCATCTGCTCGAGCTCGATCTCCTCTGCCGTTTTCGGCTGCGGGTTCCGCCTTCTCCACTCAGCCTCACAGGCGATAGCAAGCCTTTTAGCCGTGGCTCGGTGCCGCCGCTGCTCGTCGAGCATCAGTTTTCGAAAGTTGGACATCGCCTTGAGGAGATGGTCCGCATGCGCCCAGTGCCTCGGTTCCTCCTCAGGCTCAGGCTCAAACACTGAGCACCTCCCCTCGGCGAGGGTACCACCAGGTTCCACCTCTTTCTCCACGCGCAGAATGAGTCGGGCATCTTCCAATATCGTCTCTTCCGTGTATCGTGGGCCATCGTCCGCTGGCACGAAAAGACCCCCTTGCTCTACTGGTATCTCCGCCGCGCGCTCAAAGAACTCCTCGAAACTGGGGCCGAGCTTTGGACGGAGATTTGCCTGTTCGCGGTGGACAAGGGGTATCGTTGTTAGCGGTGGCCTGACCCGCAGTTTGATGCGGGGAGTTGTGCGGACCCCGCCGGGTGTCTCATCACCATCGTCGTCGGTTTCCTTAAGATGACGCGTCGAGCGGCGCGTGCCAAGAGATTGCTTTGCAGGTGTGGCAACCCGCCTCGGTTCCTGTGCTGCGGATTTTCGTGAAGGGGCCTTGTTAATTGCCTGCCTCGGCGGCGGCTGCTTGCTCGAGGACACGGCACGCTTAGTGGATGCACTGGGCGTTGACAGCGCGTGCCCGTTGCTTGACCCATTGCGGTTCTTGGGCGGGCTGGGCTGCTGATTGTGTGATACTCGTCTCGTTATACGCTTGTCGCCAGGCTGCAGCTCGAGGGGCACGGTATTAATGCGCCCGGACTTTCGTCGCCCGTCGCCACCCATGAAAGTCGACGGGCCCTCTGCTTCGATTTTTTTCCATGGCGGCGACTCGGGTTTCGGTTTGCGCACCGTGTTGTTTGGGGTTGTGGCGCGTACTCGGCGTCGTTTGGCCGGGGGTCCGTCGTCGGTGCTCGGTGCCTCACGCGCGTGGACGCCGTTACTCTGTGGAGTTTTGGTCTCGGTCTGCTGCTCATCGGGCGATTCAAGAGTTTGTTTGTAATTATCAGATCCGTTAGTGGCCTGGGATGGATTATCGGGGTCATGTTTGACGGATTTCGTGGTTTCCGGGCCCGTGGCGGATGGCGGTTGCTCGTGGTGTTGACCATTATCGCCGGGAGTTGCAGGCAGATTTGCGTGTGTTGGGCTGGGTGACGCGATCTCTGTCATAGTGACAAGGGACACCGCGACGAGAAAACGGCCGAGATCTCGACGAATCTGGCATCTGGTAGGATGAAAAGAGGGTCAGGCGAATGCTAAAATCTCAAGTTATCTTGTCTCAGAATCTGGGCATGACTACGACTCTGTGAGGCTGGCTGCGGCGTGATTTGCGTTGAAAATGCTCGTTGGCAGCAAAACTTTGAGAGCCGACAAAAAATTCCACACTTGCTGCAAGCCTGAAGGCGATTTCCGGGGTTGGCAGCTGGCTGAGAGCTATGGATGCCTGATGTGTGAGGACAAAAGTGGGGGTTGTTTGACCAATCAGCACAGCTGGTGTCCAACCACAACCTTGAATCTCCCAAGCTAGCGAGTTGCGCATTCATTCGACATCATCAAGCCTCCCCACGACTAATTGGCATTGAGGCACCACCAACGCCAAGGCACGTTTCCCTACGTTTCGAATCGCAATGGCTGAATACCCAGGCTGACCCGGCTCGCAGATGCTGTCCCGCCACATTGTGCGGGCGTCGCCCTTCCGAGCGGCTGCCCTCCCCGCGGCGCGACGGCTTCCCTTGATCCAGCAACGAACCTTCCTCCCCGAGTCCATGGTCGGCAGGAAGAAGATGGACGAGAAGTACCCCGACAGCGACTACCCAAAACTTACGGCGGCGGAGGATCCGGACATGGTGTGTTCAATCGGACCCAGAGCTGCGGATGGCTGGGGCTGACAATTTCGCGCAGAACGGCGGCTTCATCAACCCTCCCCGCATCAAGCGCCAATTCCGTGATCCCCATGCCGACTGGTGGGATAAGCAAGAGCGGAGGAACTTTGGCGAGCCGGTGCACGAAGACCACGATATCCTCGGCATCTTCTCGACGTGGGAGTACACATGGGTCAGCCCCGGCAAGGGCCTGTTTCAAATCGGTGTCTTCGTGGCTGCCTTCCTCGCCGTGTGCTACGGTGTCAAGTTGACATACGCCGATCGGAAGAGCTACCCGAGGGAGTTTGAAGGTGGCTTGGAGAGGGAATTGGGCGGCGCTGGCGCTATGAGGGTAAGTCGAGCCGTGCGGGGGTTGCGAGGGAAGATTGCTAACTGTGTTCTCTAGGCCAGAATGGAGGGCGATGAGGACCCGTAAATAGCGGCTGGGGGGGACTATGTATATTTGGGTAGTAACCAGCTAACAATGCCAACCGAGTCCTTTTTTGTGCATCCAGTTCGATCTCGTGGCCAAGGCTGTTCAAGTTCCCCCGGTACCTAACTGAGGTTGATGTTGGGCGGGCCTCCAACCCGTACCTTCCATTCACTCCGGAACCAACCAACAACGACCAATCATCTCGCATTGCACGTTTCCATTCATGCAATCGAGATCAAGAGCGGGGCGGCAATCCCAGTTTAGGTAGTTGCGAAGTTATCGAGGGAAGGAACAGCGTGTGACGGACTTGTTCTCCGCAAAACGGGGCTCTCAACTGGCCTTGCTAACGCAATCCAATCTGTCAAAGGTGGAGGTCTGGTCTGCGGCGGACTTTGCTGGCTGCCTCGAGAATCGTTGCCCACCACGCGACGGATCGGGTGATGTTTTGGTTTTTCTTGCTTGCCCAAGCCGCTTGTTGACTTTTGCCTCCCTCTCTCATTTTGCCTCTTTCCTTGGCCTATTGTTCTCTTCTCTCTTGGTGCAACCCCTCCATTCTCATCGAGCAATTCTTACCCACGTCACCCCCAACGTGCCCGCCCACATCAAACGCCGTCGGCCAGAAGGATGCGCTATGACGACTGGGACGTTATCCTCTTTCCCACCGGCCGCGACTCCAAGATACCCTTCAAAGAGTTCAAAGTCGCCTGCCATGCCGTGCCTGACCTAGAACTAGCCCACATCCATGGCGCCATAGGCATTCCAGCCATGACGTGCTTCATCCCGAGCCTAGCACCTGGAACCCCATTCCAAATCTCGATCCACTGCTGGCGCAGGCCCGATCTCAGCCAGTTCACACGCACTTATAGCAAGCACACAGATCTCGTCAAGTTTGAGGCACGAATTTTGATCGATGGACGCCTGGTCGCGTGGGTTGGCGTCTGACTACATGCGTATGTGTCCACGCGTACACTGACCCGCGATCCAGGTCCACCGTCCTCGACCGTGACGTGAACGGTCCCCACTTGATAACTAGCACATGCGGTTCGCTATTTGTGCCCCGACGGAGAGTGTTCGACAATACTGACAGGTCGACGCAGAATTTACAAAGACGGGCGAGCTGGAACGACTGAGGTTCCCCCACTTCCGCCGCGAGCTCCTGTTCCAGAACCATTGGAGGCCAGGCGACGATATTGGCCGCATCAAGATCGTCATTAGCGAGGGCTTTCCCCGAGATTCACTATCTGCTCCGATCGAGAGAGTCAAGAATGTTGTGGCCTTCTCCTTCCAACATGCGCCGCTGGGTAGGCACCCGTTCCATTTTGCAGCCGCATGTCTGCTGACGACATCTTGCAGAGATACTCGAAAACAATGCCATCGCCTGGCCGAATCAGTCCATGTGGCAATGTGCGGCCTTCAATCCGGCGGTTCCTGTACCGGCATATCATTTGGACGACGGACCGAGCTCGCACGCACACTCCCCTCGCAGGAAGCCGGCTCCGCTCAGACACCTCAAGAACCAGGGGTTTTCAGGCCCGGCCCTGACCAACGTTGTCTTTCCCGGTCATGCAGGGGGTTTACTCGACGACTCGGCGCTGCAAATGTCATACCTGGACGACAACGTGGACACCCATGAACACACCGTTTCCCGACCCGTTTGCTGACTCGATGTATCTCGAATGGACCAACTCGTTGGCGGGCGGACAATCAAATGACCCATGGGACGGATTAAATGTGTGGCCCCAAGGAGGGCGGACCCAAAGGCAAACTGCTTCAGACACGGTCATGCCCGACTATATCCCCGCGCAGACAGCAGAACCGATGCATATCTCAGGGGCTAGCCTAGAAGACGAGCCTATGCGCTTAAAAGTGCCAACCAACACACCTACGGGAGGCACCGATGACGACCAGGACACCCCACTGGAAATAAATCAGCCTACAATTTTGCCTTCGGAGTTTGCCTCGTCCCTCACGCGGTCGCTCTTGAACCAACCGTTCCCCCTCCCGGCCCATCAACACAATCCATGCAAGGACAGCCAGCATGCAATGCTAAACCGAACGATTGCCGTTGATGAGGCCCCTACCGTCTCGGTGTCTTCGGGCCCGTCGTGTGCCGAGTTTGGATCCATTATCGCGAGCCTTGGATGCGACAATAGTGGCTCGTCCTTGGCCACCCCCAGTGATTCCGTGCAGACGGAGCTGAACTGTTCTAGTGGCCAAGGTGCCGCCGGTCTTCTCAGCAGCGGCAAGGGGATCAACAAGGTCAATGGTGGCATACTCGCAAAACGTTCGCGGAACTTCACGCCTGCTTCGGTAAAAGCGATTGACGAAGAAGACGAGCCACGCCGCGCGAGCCCGCACGTGCGGGCCACAGGTTTTGGCGCGACAGAATCATCAGTGACGAGTTAGTGAGAGCCTCTTCATTATCAAAGTGATATTCAGGTGGTATTTCCGGGCAGCCCAGGTTCAACTAGTTCAGCACTGTGGGATGGGAGAATATATGTTTTGGCCACGAGCTCATCGGACGGCTGATGTAGGCATTTGTTACTACAGCCGTTGAAAGCTTTTTTTTTTAAAAACTTATTTTCTTTGCCTGACAATACGAACGGTTATCCTTAGTCAAATGTAGTGTATAATCAAGGACTCAAGTTTCAGGACCAGATTGTATCAGGGTACCAAGACCAGCGTTGCTTGTTCCTCCCACGGCCCTGCCCCTTTCCCCGTATAAATCAACCCCCCTCATGTTTCTGACGCCGTTGCTTTGTACTCTCCACTTTCTCCGTCTTATATCGCCTTTGCTGGATACCTGCTTTCTCGTTTCCTTCCCTCTCCCCTTAGCCCACAGCGACGCCCCTGCCCTACACTTTGCGCGCCTACGCCCCCTGATATTTAGACACTCTTGGTATCTTGTAAGTTGTTCTACCCCGTTATACAAAGGATCCGGTATCACGAAGTATAACATGGTCAGAACCCTTCTATCACTGCTTGATTTGGCCAAGTTTCATGCCTTTTACCGTCCGTCTTTTGGTTCCGACATTTTTGATCAAATCGGAGATCCTGCCGGCCACCCGGCAGTTGACCCCGCCGCACGAACTCGTCTTCCACACACACGACCTGCATGTATGTAACCTCAAGTCGTATCCACTGGGTCAGACAAGATTCCAAGCCTGTATGTAGGCTGTGGCCGCCCCCATACACTTCTTCCCCTCAAACGTCTGGATTGACCGTTCTTCAACCCAGCATTGTACCGAATGAGGACGAAATCCTGAAACGCAAGAATGACGTTGGAATCGTACCTGACAGCGCCGGCTTTGGCTGCTACCGTGGCTGCTGTGGTCGCGGGGAACATTATCTGGGCTGTAAGTGCTCTACTGCTCTCGGCCCTAAATTTTCATCCCGCCCCTAGGTGATAACGACAAGAACATTCAGCTCATGCGGCGCCGCCCGGCGTAGATTCTCTCAAACGTCCTCACGTCACCGATCCCTTCGTCTGTTCCAGGTCCGTTTTTCGCCCGCCTCACCAGCAAATGGATCCTTCTCGTCGACATGTCGGGCCACCGCGCTCGCACCGTCGACGCGCTGCATAAGAAATACGGCCCCGTCGTGCGCCTGGCCCCGAACGAGCTATCATTTTCCTGTCGGGAGGCTATCCAACCCATCTACGGCACCAAATCCACGTGCGTCAAGGGCCCGATTTACGACTACTTTGGCAAACGCGGCCTGTTCCACATGAAGGACGCCGCCGAGCACCGCGAGCGCCAAAGGCGCATGTCTCACATCTTCAGCGCGGGCTCGCTGCAGCAGATAGAGCCCCTGGTCCAGGCCGTCATTGACCGCACCGTGAGCGCCATCGAAAAGACGTCCGGACAGGCCTGTGATGCGCTGCATTTCTGTCGGATGATGGCACTGGATGTTGCTGGTATGTCAACCCTCAATTGTCAAGGGCACATGTAATGTGCATTGGCATCTGGTCGCGATACCAGTCCACCTGATAATTATTGGCCTCAATCTAGGCGAGGTTCTGATGGGCAAGTCGTTCGGTGCGTTTGACGGCCAGAAAAATGCCCCTGTCTACGTTAAGCATCTGGACAACACATATCCGGTGTGGTTTATCCAGGGCATTGCCCCGCTGCTGTATCAACTCCTGACGATACCGCCCATTCCCGCGCTGCAAGAGTTTATGGCCGCAGGGGACTATGTATACAAGTACGGCAATGATGCGTTCGACGAGTTTCTCAAGCTGAACGGGCGCACCTCTAATCGGCGCACGCTGCTCACCAAGCTCATCGCCGGCAACCCCGAGACTGGTGCTGAGCCGCTCCCGGATGCCGATATCAGCATCGAGGTCTCGAACCTAACCTTTGCCGCCGTCGACACCACTGGAAATACGGGAGCGTATGCCCTCTACCGCCTGGCTTGCCACCCAGACTGGCAAAGCAAACTACAGGCCGAGATACGGGACTCGAGCGCCAGGAAAACTGACTTTGCTTATATCACTCTGCAAACGCTCCCCATCTTGAATGGCGTTATCATGGAGACGTTGAGACTTCACCCGGCCCAACCCGAGCGGCCCGTTAAGGGAGACCACAGACCCAAGCACCAATATTGCCGGCTTGAATCTGCCTGTGAAGGTGAAACCCACATCACTCCCTCCCATTACCCAGCACCTGACTCAACCTTCACTATACTCATACTGACCCTGGCATCCTTTCATCCCGTCTAGACCCTCGTATCCGTACAAGCCTACACAACACAGCGCGACCCAGCCTACTTCCCCGATCCGGACCAGTTCAACCCAGGCCGCTGGATCAACGCCGACGGCACCATCAACCCGGGGACCCCCGAGCTGCAGGACATGATGCTGGTCTGGGGCAAGGGCCCGCGCACGTGTGCCGGCCAGTACATGGCCACCATGGAGCTGAAGATCCTGCTGGCTCGGCTGATGGATCGGTTTGGGGTCGCCCTGCAGGGGGAGAGGACGCATGCGGATATGGAGATGACGGATCATTTTGTGCTGATTCCGAAGGGGCATTGTTGCGGTTTGGTTTTTACTGAGGATTAAGCCACCATCTGGTGGCCTCCATGGGCACCCCCTGAACAACGAAGAGTCAGAGCTAGGTGACCGATCTCTGTCATCAGGAACGAAAAGTAACACCAGGAAGGGCGGCAGTGTCTTGATTACACCATCATGCCGATGTCAGCAGGCTTGCGTCGAGTCGGCCAGCTGGCGTACCTTGACTTCCCCCTATTTTGTGGTTTCTAGGCGTCTCTTGGGTACACATATGTATAACACGACTAGGACGGATATCGCGAAAGGAATGGTTCGGTTTCAAGAATGTCCTTCCCCATATCACATGACTTAGCTAGACCACAATACCATCTCAAATGATCCTAATCTGCACCACAGGCGCATCATAAAAGAAGACCTGAAACGGCTGCGCAAACGGTGCATCCCTACACCGCGCATCATTGGCACTACTCCCAGCGAAACTCGCAACCCCAACCCGCCTAAACGTCCCATCCCCCCTCTCCTGCACCAACAGCGCCTCAATCCCCCGCACCCCCGTCCCCGCCCCCTTCGCCATCACATGCCTGACCGGCACCGCGTACACCCCAGCCTGCGCGCCCGCGCCCGCAGCAGCAAACACGCTCCCATCCCCCGGCTCATCCAGCACCGCCGCCGCAATCTGCAGCCCCTGCCCATCATACAGCAGCGCGTCCGACAGCGGATAGTCATACGGCCCGACGGTCCGCGCCTCGCGCCGGATCGGCTCCATACGCGGCACCCGCTTCAGGTACCCCGTCAGGGTGAGCATGCCGCGCTGCACGCGGCCGAACGGGTCGGTCCCGTCGAGGACCACGTCCCATGTTGCAGGGTTGAGGAGGGAGGTTAGGGCCGTGGGCTCCTCGCTGGCCGGGTGGATCGCGGCGGACCGGGAGATCCAGGACCAGGATGGCCCCGGGAGGGTGGAGCCGTCGCCGGCGTCGGGCGCGAAGGTCGTCCAGAGGAGGGCGCGGGGGAGGTCGTGCGTCCAGAGCCCGGCGTGGTATTTGTGGGTTGTGGTGGGGGTGGGGGTGGGGTTGAGGGTTTGGTTGATTACTTTGGCGATGCCGGATAGGGCGGGGAGCTTGTCTTGTTTGTTGGTGAGGGCGCGCCGGGTGAATTCGCTGAGGATTCGGTACCAGTCGTTGAGTAGTCTTGTTTGCCGGTCCGGTTCGGATTGGGTGGCGGGGTGGGAGCCGAGCATGGGGAGGCCATGGCGGAGCGCGACTAGGCCTGGCGCGCTGGATTCGAGGTACTGGATGGGCTGCAGGCGGGTGCTCTCGCTCCAGCGGGCCGCGCGGCATTCCCAGTGCAGCTGGTCGCGGCCGAAGAAGACGGTGCGTCGCGCGAGCAGGCGCTCTTGCAGCGTCCAGCCTCGCGTAGCCAGCGGGCTGCCGTCCACGTCGACTCGAAAGTGGTCGCGGAGCTCGTTTGCGTCCTCCGGCGAGGGCTCCGAAACGGTGAAGTAGCCGGAGATCACGCCCGGGGCGCCTCGGAACGGCAGCGTCACGTTGCGGCGGCTGGGCCTTGGTTTGATGAAGCCCTCGTCTGCGGATGCGCTGTTGGCTGCTGCGATGGTCAGCGCCGCGCGGCTGTACACCTCGGCCATCTTGGCTGATTCAATGGCCCAGTCGTGTGGGTCGTCTTGCACGATGCACAGCGAGTCGATCCAGAGGTACTGGTAGCCCAGGGCGCGCGTGACCTCGACGGCGTGCCGGAAGTTTGTGCTCAGTTCCTGGATTGGGATTCCTTGTAGTCGGGTCTGCATGCTCGCGCCGCGCTCTGTTTTTGTGATGGAGGCGGGGGTTGGTCCCCAGCAGTGGCTCAGAGCAATGTAGCGGTCCTTGCGGCCTTGGGTCTCGATGAGGGTGGGATGGCGGACAGGGTCGGCGGAGCCCACGTCTATAACGCGTGTTGGTAGTTCTGGTGCTTCTTCGGCCTTGGTCAGGTCGATGGCAGGGGCTGGGAGCCGGCAGGTTGCGTGGTCATGTAGGCATGTGTCAAGCCAGCGCCGTAATATGTTTGGGTCCCATTCTGGGCGAACGGGCCGGCCCGAGATGAGCTTCTCTAGAACGATGGGACAGCCTGGGAGGGGGTGTGAGCGGATCTGCCACATGAGACTGTGACTGCTTGGGTGGTAGAGTTCTCACCCGCCGAGTCATCTATCCAGATGTCAACTCGCCTGACGCTGTGGAGCACATTGACGCCCTTGTTGCCGATTTGAACTACAATTCCCCCGATGGGAATCGGATGACTTCCTGACCCGATGCGTGGCCAAGAGTTGCGCGTGAAGACGAGAAGATAGACGCAGTCATCGTCGCGGACGAGGGGTTTGGTGTTGGCGTCGCCAAGCAGAATGGAGCAGAGCTCGCAAGTCCCGGCGCTTACACGGAGCTGAGCGAATGTCTGGGAGTGAACCCAGCCCTTGGCAATGCTCTTTGAGTCTGGCGGGATCGATTTGGCAAGGATCTGGGCGAGATCGATGGCTTCACACCGTTCACATAGCGACATGGCGCAGGGGGGAGCGAGAGCGTGGAAAGGACCAGGGGATCTGATAGTTAGGTGTGAATAAGAGGCCTCGCCGCGCTGCTTGATGCTAAGTGACTTGACAACTGAACTGATCACACCAGACGGCTGGCTGGGTTAGCCTTGGTTGATAATTTGGGATATCGAAGCTACTTGACGGTGTTGACGATTTAATGTCAGTCAGTACATGTACTCCGGATTTCGAAATCACAAATGTCGACTGTGTGGCCACAGATGTTACAATTCAGGTCCCAAAGGAACGGGTGGTGGAGGAAGGAAATTGACGAAGTTGTTGGGTTCGTCGGGCATCAGCCGCATCACTGCGCATATATATGCACGCGTGTTCGGTTAGCAGGGGTTTTAGCTTGAGCCAAGGAGGCTTAGGCCGGTTGCTAAGTCCGTTAGCTTGGTCATGGTGGCGGCGTTGGCGTGATAGGGATACACAGGTATTGTACCTACCTAGGTACCTACCTAGGTAGGTAGTACTTAGGTAGGTACCTGCACTCGCGAGATGACTGATACGCTGATCTGACTTGAGGAACAGTGTGCATCTTCAGCATAACATAGGTAGTCGGACGAAACGGGATGGAGGGCTTATTTGCAGTTAAGGTCCTTTCTGCGGTTCCGTTTGCTTCACTGCACACAGCCGCTCTTCATACGACTGAAGCTGAAACGCCTGCAGGTGCCTGGCAAACTGGCATCCACAGTCTATTAAGCCTTCATCTTGCAAGCGTCAAGCAGTTGGGAATTTCTTGTACCCCACACCCTTAACAAAAGTATAGTGCCATGGTCCTTGTGACTTGTCCTCTGCAAGCGCCACATACTGCTCGGCATGAGCAGCTCCATCAATGTCCATATACGCAGGCTTCCCATCCGCCTTGCGCTCACCGGCATAGTAGAACCTATAAATGGGTCAATGTTAGATGTCCAAGATGGCAGCTTAGTAGGAACATCGGACGTACTTGTAGCCTTTATCCGCATACGCAGCAGCAGCAGACTGGATGATATGCGCAGTTGCAGACTTGCCGACCCCCCCGAGCATGAGCGGCGCCAGGATAGTGGTGTTCAGCGCGTTTCCGGTGAAGATGAAGGTTTTTGATGCCGAGGCGGGGAGCTGCTCAAATGCGAGGACGGCCTGTTGGGCTGCGACAAAGGCGCTGGTTGTGTTGATGTTCAGGGCTTGGGCAAAGTCTGCTAGGGGCACAGAGAGTGGGTTGTCTACGGGATTCGCTTTTCCAGCTGACGCTTTGGGGGGGAGCCAAGTGTTAGTAACATGAGATATCCATCTGTGAGGTGGTATGTTTATCATGAATCATGAAAGATTATTCACTCACCATTATAGATGACCACACTTGGGACACCTAGTGAGCTCTTTAGTTTCGAGAACACTTTGACGATGGAGTCTGGATCGGAAAAGTCACTCGGTAGGTAGACTTGCTCATCCGTATTGTCTGATTCGTTGACGCTTCGGGCCGCGAGAGCAACTCTGTAGCCTGTATTTCGAAAGGCTTGGGCTACATGGTGGCCAACGTTTGAGCCGGCTCCCAGGATGAGGACAATTGGGGATGGGTTGGGCATAGCTATGAGTCCAAGGGAACACAAATAGAGAGAGGGCGTTCAAGAAGTTTAAAGTGTTGGTGTTCTATACTTCATGAATAACATGGCTTGTCTTCTATATATGCTCTCTGTCCGAAATCGAGGTTCATGAATAGGTAGTCAAGGTAGAGGTCGGTAACCCTACTGGCATCAGGATAAGTCGGCATGAATGCATCCTACGAGAACCAAAGTCCGCCTAATCGGCCAACCGACCAACATTTGGAAGTAGGGTGGATGACAAAAAGCTTCTAATCTAATCTTGAGAATCACAAAACGCCATAAGCGGTCCTAATCAACCAATCCACATTATAAATCATAGGCTGGATATTTCGGATCAGGGGTTCGCTGGCGAAGGAACTTCCAATCTGGTCTTGCTGCATGAGGGTGATTGGAAATCAGCCGTGACCCGTGACATTCCTTCCATTCAATCAAGGTCCGCTGACAAAAGGTTCCCAATCTAATCTTCATCACCAGGCAGCATCATGTCGTAATGAACCATTGCCAGCAGTTTGGACGTGTGCAAATACTTGAAATAGAGACGTTGCCCATTTATCGGTACTGATGTCTAACGTCTAAGAACAACAAACTTCAAATAACACTCGGGCTCAAACAATCACAACAACATGGAGACAAACATTTTAATCACTGGCGCGGCTGGTTACATGTATGTTCTGTGGCCTCGATAGCGCATCATAAACTAACTTGCCCCCAGAGGAGGCTCCGTCGTTGCGCAACTTTTGGCTTCCTCTAACAAACTCGTCAAGAAGGAGAACATCATTGCTGCGGTCAGGTCAGAAGAACAAGCAATCGCCTTGTCGAAACTGGAAATCACCGTGCTTCAGTTAGACTTGACCAACGAAAACGCCGTGGTTGAAAGTATCCTGCGCCACAATGGTAAGAGTCACTCTAAAATACAACTTGGATCTAACAAATTACAAATGACGGCGTTTATTGATAATCTCGTAGTCGGCATTGTCATCCACACCGCGAGCAGCTTGAACACGGATATAGCCCTTCATCTGGTGACTGCACTCGCCAAACAGAAGGAAGTCAGCAAACAAGAGACATACATGATCCACGTAAGTGAGGTGTGTGACATGTTTAAGTGTTGATATCCTGACAGTAATATAATTAGACCTCGGGAGAGAGCGCGTTCACCACATCCAGTGGCTGGCCACATGGCGAAACAAACGACGCCGGCCCATTGTTTGAGACTGAAAAGGAGCTCGCCGATTCTTACCCGCTCCGAAAGACGGATGTCTCGGTCATCGAGCATGCGAAGGCGACAGGGGTGACCAGCTTCATCGTCATACCTCCCATGGTTTGTAAGTCGACTTACAAAGCAATGGCGTATGTGTGAGCCTCTTCAAACTGACTATTCACCTAGATGGCAAAGGCAGTGGCCAGTGGAATCAGCTCTCCGTGCTGTTGCCGGTCTATGTTCAAGGCAGCATCTCTGCCAAGGCAGTGCGAAAATTCGCCAACGACGGGGTAAGTCAACAACTTAATTAGGTACCTCCTCGTGAGCTAGGCGGCCCTAACATGGTTCGTAGACGGTGTCAGCCGTACACATCTCGGACATTGCTGTCTTCTATGAGAAGATGGTGGAGAAGATTCTTCTGAAAGAGCCGATCCCAAGCGGTGAAAAGGGGTACTACTTTGCCAAAGCCCACGATGTTCAATGGTGGGAGGTGTTCGATCAGTTGGCTGTGGCCCTTGAGGCTCGTGGTCTTGCGACCAACTCGACAGTGGAAACTTGGCCAGATGATGAGACAGCGGCGAAGGTACTGGGTGTACCTGTGCAGTTTGTGTCAATTCTGTGGCAATCAGTGTATGTGATCTTTGGAGATTTGGGGATGGAGTTTAAGCTAATTTGGTCCCTAGTTCACATATGTTCGCGGTGAACAAGCAAGAAATCGGATGGGAGCCGGTCTGGGACAAGGAGCGGCTGTTGACCAACATCGACGATGAGATAGATGCCGTTTTGGAGCTTGGGCAGGCGAAGAGCAGCCTCGTTGCCTCATTGTTTGATGCTGCCAAAGGATAGACCCGGGCATGCAATAGTCAGGCAGGTCACAACCGTAGTCGGGGATGCGGTTGCAAGTCATATTACAGTACAGGCCTTCTCAGTCCATCCCGTCCCAACTGGTCTCTTTCGCCCCGCAGATATTTGGATTGTGTCGGCGTGAGCACATTGATAAGACTTCGTCACGGGATTTACCGGAGGGAAGATCTGTTAGCACATGGTGGCTTACCGACGAAGAGCGCCCGATCGGATCGAACCGGAATGGAGCCCGGCTCTCTGCAGCACGAGTGGATCCTTGGAGGAGTGTCGTCGGCAGGGTAAGAAGTGTGCGTGACTGCGAATCTGTGACTCCACGTCGACGTCCGAGAATAGTAGCGGGAATACCAGGAGCTGCTCATCTAACACAAGATGTCTCCGCCGGGCCTGGATCGCGGGGGGCGGACCGGAATGTAATGGTGTGACAAGATCCTAGCCAGATGGTTGGAACGACATATTTGCAGGGGTTTCGGATACGATGTCGAACAAAATTCCGCGTTTTGACAACCCGAACGCTCTCTCGTTGGCATTATCAAAAAAATAACACCCTTGAGCTTGAGGTCTGATGAAGCTTTCCTACTCCCCGAACCCAGCGGATCCCGAGCCTGGAGTTCCACAGCTGGTCTCGGCCAGGCCGCTGCCGGGGGTGAATTCTGGTGTCAAACTCCATTATGTCTCCAGGCCAAGAAAAACGAAAAGACAGACAGCTTGGGGCACCCACAGAGAGCAATCGAAAATGACCCGGCGATTTCGGGCGCGGCCGGAGTTTGAAGGATTTAACGGTTTTTTCGGGCAACTGGGTGCAAAAAAACGTGGCTTGCGACAGACAGCGAAAGGAATGGGATGCTTGCTTACCCGCCGGGGGATCTTTGGAACCCGCGTCCCAACCGGACGGGCGCCTCGATGTCTCCGGGTCGTCCTGCCAAGAAAAGGCTGTTTATTTCCTTCCGACTTCTTGCATGAAAAGAAAGTTTTTGAGTTGTCAGGAGGGAACTGAGTCATCTTAAACAGTCGCATTCGGGGCGTGCCTCCCTCGTTGGTTTCCCTGTCGGTCGGGGTCAGCGTTGGGGCAGCACGGGCCTCATTCAACGTTTTAATTTTCCCTTCCCAAAGAGGAAGGGCAGCCATCTAGCGCGACGGCTGGACACTTTTTTTTCTGGGCAACGGTGAAACGGGCGAAATTGCAACAGAAGGCTCCGAGGGCTCGCGGCACAAACTCGAGTCTGATTAACTAATGTGGGAATCCTTAACTAGGTAACTAAGCTTCGAGAACAATGACGTGGTGACTCGGAGGGGAGTTAGGCCGTCTGCGCTTTGTGCTTTTGGCGTGCCACCGCCTCGGACAGCCAAGAATGCCGAAAAGTCCATCCAGCCGCGACGAGTGCCGCATTCGGGGCATCCCGGCTCCCGTTGCAGGATCTGAGCCACGCTAGCGGTAACTTAAGCGAGATCTTTGGGTCGTTGCTTGCCAATGCTTCAATGCTTGGGTTGCTTGGGTTGCTTGGGCTTGCTTGTTCGGAATTCCGGTCCTCAGGACAGATGCTAAAGGATGCCAGAGCTCGGAGACATGCGAGACACCGCACCGCGTCATGGTAGTTGCTGCCCCCTTAGACGGCTTGGCGCTCACCAACCCCGTCAAGAGCTCTCGTGTCTTAAAGCCCATAACCCGTCCGGTTGGAATGCCTGGGTCTTCAGTCCTCAGCAGCTCATCGGTAGTGAATGAGGAAGCCCTAAGACCTTGACCTAGTCTTCCCTCGCCTGATAGCGACTCGATTATCACTAATACCTCTTGACCAATATCAAGTTTGACTCCTCCCAAGTATGGACACTAAGCCGGCTCTCTCTCCCCCGGCGCCCGGGTGGGAGGCTGCTACCCTCGCCCCGAGCAGGACGAGCGTGTCGGAAGACGGCATGGTCTCGGCTATCGGGGAGCAAACCGACATCGAGAATGAGAAGAAGGATGCTCTCGCCCGGCAGGCTACCGCCACCTCCAAGACGGGCAAAGCCTTCGAGCCGACACCCACCCGGGAAGATGGCACCGAGTACCCTGGTGGCGTGACGCTCGGCCTGATTGTTCTGGCTTTGTGTCTCAGTGTCTTCACCATGGCGTTGGGTACGTACCCCTTTTGCTTTTTCCGGCATTTACGACGAACTGAGCAAGCTAACTGGTCTCCCAGACAACTCCATTATCGCTACCGCCATCCCCAAGATCACCGATGAGTTTCACTCCCTGCCCGACGTAGGCTGGTACGCCTCCTGTAAGCCAACTCCACCCCCCCTCCTCCCCTCTATCCATCCCAAACCCACCCAGCGTAACCCTAACCTCCCAACCCTAGCGTACCTCCTCACCACGGCCGCCCTGCAGCTCCTCTTCGGCCGCTTCTACACCTTCTTCTCCATCAAATACGTCTTCCTCATCGCCATCTTTCTCTTCGAAGTCGGCTCCCTGATCTGCGGCGTCGCCCAAAATAGCGTGACCCTCATCGTGGGCCGCGCCGTCGCCGGCGTCGGCGCAGCCGGCATCTTCTCGGGCGCGCTCACCATCCTCGCCTACTCGGTCCCCTTATCCAAACGCCCCATCTACACGGGCGCCATCGGCAGCATGTACGGCCTGGCCAGCATCTCAGGCCCGCTCATGGGCGGCGCCTTCACCGACCACGTCACCTGGCGCTGGTGCTTCTTCATCAACCTCCCCGTGGGCGCCGTCACCATGGTCGTCATCTGGTGGTTCTTCCCAGACCCCAAGCGCGACCTCCTCCAAAACGCCGACGACACCCTCCGGCAGCGCGTCATGCGCTTCGACCCCTTCGGCACCCTCGTCTTCATGCCCGCCATCATCAGCCTGCTCCTCGCCCTCCAGTGGGGCGGCACCACCTACGCCTGGAACAGCTGGCGCGTGATTCTCCTCTTCTGCTTCTTCGCCGTGCTCATCGCCGCCTTCGTGTACTTCCAGTTCCGCCAGGGCGATCTCGCCACCGTCCCGCCCCGCATCCTCGCCAAGCGCAGCGTCTGGTCCGCGGGCTTCTTTATCATGGCGCTGGGTGGCGCCTTTCTCGGGTCGGTTTATTACCTGCCCATCTGGTTCCAGGCCGTCAAGGACGCCAGCGCCGTCGGGTCGGGCATCATGAACCTGCCCATGCTGGTGGCTGTCGTGCTGTGCTCGGTTGCGGCGGGTGCGGCGGTCACGATCTGGGGGTACTACACGCCGTTTATTATCGCGGGGAGCGCGGTTGCGGCGGTGGGGTATGGTTTGACGACGACGTTTACGCCGGAGACTGGGTCGGGCATGTGGATTGGTTATCAGATCCTGATTGGGGCCGGGATTGGCATCAGCTTCCAGCAGCCGCTGATGGCGGTGCAGACGGTGCTGGATATGGCGGATGTGCCGACGGGGACGTCGCTGATTATCTTTATGCAGACGTTGGGGGGTGCGCTGTTTGTGGCGGTGTCGCAGAATGTGTTCACCAACAAGCTGGTTGAGTATGTTGCTGAATACGTGCCGGATGTGGAGAATCCGAGCTCGATTTTGGCGGTGGGCACGACCACCGTCAAAGATGTGTTTGATGCCGCCCAGCTGCCGGGGATTAAGTTGGCGTTTAATGATGCGCTGACGCAGACTTTTACGGTGTTTACTGCGCTGGCGGCGATTAGTATTCTGGGCGCGGTGGCGGTCGAGTGGAAGAGCGTGAAGGGGAAGCCTGTGGAGATTGGTATGGCTTAGAGGTGGTTGGCATGGGCTAATCAGCAAGTTTTGAGGTGGTGTTTATTTGGTGTTTTGTCACGATACCCGGTTACGATTTGTCATTTGTCGGACGGATAGAGGTTGGCTAGACGGCGTTGGGTTAGAAGAGCTCCTGAGGGGGCAGAAGGGTTGATACGAGGTAATGTCTTGATAGACCTGGTTGCAGACAATCTCAACTTTGGCGTTGGCAGATGCCAATCTAATAGAAAAAGAAAAAGATCGAATGTTCAAGTGCCACCGCTGCCTTCCAGTTATCCTCCACCAAGACAAAAATTAGACTTCGGGGAATCCCTCCAATGAGCCAGGCCCGCCACCGGCCCGGATAGGGCTAGCCAGACAACTGTCATGTTTCGACGGATTGTCAGACAGCGTGGCAAGCAGTGTTGCAGTGAACATACAGGTACAATCACGCGAGTGGCGCCGTGGTAAAAGAGACTCAGTTTATTCAAGGCGCTGAGGCTGCCAGCGCAAATCAAGATGACCTCCCCCGTATCCTGAACGCCAGCCATGTCTATTCTAAGTGCGCATGCATGTAGATGCGCCTTTTCCCAGCAACACCCTGAACTCCAAGGCCAAATCTAGGTTCCCGTGTATATAGTGCGCTGCAGCGAGCATTTACAACCCTATATCTGCTGCGCGGGGGGTAGTAGTCTACGGCCAACATGAACTAACTCCGCCGCGAAATCGTGACTGTCCTCTCCCAAGAACCCCGATCCGCAACGCCTCCCGCTAGAAATAGACTCCCGCGACCGGTCGACTCGGAATCCTTCGATAATTTCGTGTCGATGCGTTCCTTATTTGGTGCCGTTCACCACTGTGGCGGTCTTGAACCGCTCTACCGGCTCCTGCTTGAGCACCTGGTCCAGGCAGCCCGCGCTCGCGGCGATGAAGCCGAGGTACGGCCTCTGATTCAGGTTAGCCTAAGATTTCTGCGTGGCACAAAGGGGGACTTACGCTGGGGTGCACGACTTGCGACTGGTACTCGGCATGGAATTGTGTCCCTGTTTGGACATCAGCATCATCCTGGGTAAGTCAAGGTCCAACGCCAGATACGCACCGACGAAGTAGGGGTGGTCTCTGAGCTCAAAGATCTCCATCCGCTCGCCCGTCTCGTCCCTGCCCACAAAGTGGAGACCCGCCTTCTCCAGCGTCTCGACGAGGTCAGGGTTGATCTCGTACCGATGGCGGTGCCTCTCCTCGATGACCTCGACGCCACCGTACATCGACCGCGCGCGCGACCACTCCGTGTCCTGCTGGAAGATGGTCTTGCGGAGGCCCAAACGCATGGTGCCACCCATTTTCTCGCGGTCGAGCTCGGGCATGTTGACCACGACGCGGTCTTTGGCCTGCGCGTCGAATTCTTCTGATGTGGCCTCGGGCATGCCGCAGAGGTCGCGCGCAAACTGAATCGCTGCCACCTGGAAACCGAGGCAGACACCCAGGAAAGGGATGTTGTTCTCCCTGGCCCACTTGGTCACCCTCATCATCCCTTCGGTCCCGCGGTGCCCAAACCCGCCTGGCACAATGATGCCAGAGGCCGTGGAGATGTCGTGCCACGCCTTGTGGTACTTGGCCTGCGCGGGCCCGCCGCCAGTTGTCGGCTCGAGGTCCTCCGAGTCGATCCACATCAGGTTGAGCTTCCGGCGGATCGTCATGGCTGAATGCTCCAGCGCCTTGACAACTGAGATGTATGCGTCCTGGCATTTGATGTACTTGCCGACAAGCGCGATCTTCACCTCTTCCTGGTACGTGGGGGTGACGACTGAGGTCCACAGGTCCCAGAGTGCTGTGCCCTGCGCGGCCATCTCGGGCGTGACTGTGATCTGGTCGAGGGCCAATTTGGTCCGGAGCTGCGGGATGAGCTTCTGCTCGCGCAGCAGGAGGGGAACTTGGTAGATGGTCGGCATGTCGCGGACGACGAGAACCTGCTCCGACTCGACCTGGCAGTGGAGAGCGAGTTTGGCGATCGTGGGCTCCGCGAGGGGAGTCTCGCAGCGGCAAGCGACGATATCGGGAATCAAGCCGTGGCTTCGGATCGATTTGACGGCGTGCTGTGTGGGCTTCGTCTTTTGCTCTCCGTGTACCGTGGGAACATACGAGACATGGATGCTCATGAAGTTACCCGCGCCCGCCTCGTGGCGCACTATTCGGGTCAGCTAAATCAAACTTGGCAGTCCGGGGCGAACATACGCTGGGTGAGAGACTCGATAAACGGCATCTTTGATGGTGTCAGCAGATCCATACCGCAGAGACTACAAAACTGAAGCGGGCGTAATCCTGGGTCATCAACAAACTTACGCTCTCGATATCACCAACAGTGCCACTGTTTGAAAACGAAGTCAGCAGCCGACCTGAAAACCAAAAGACAACCCGCCACAACACAAACTTACCCCAACTCGATGATGCAGACATCAGGCTCTTCGCTAGAACCATCCACCGGGATCTTCGACACACGCTTGATCCAGTCCTTGATCGAGTCCGTCACATGGGGCACAATCTGGACGGTCTTTCCGAGATAGTCGCCCCGGCGCTCCTTCTGGATGACGTTCAAGTAGACCTTGCCAGTGGTGATGTTGTGCTCGCTCGTGAGGCGCACCGAGAGATACCTCTCGTAGTTGCCGAGATCGAGATCAACCTCGCCGCCTACAAATCATCAGCATTTCCATCCTTGCAATATGCCAAGCCTCATGAATTCACTAACCCGAGCACAGGACAAAGCACTCGCCGTGCTCGGCCGGGGCCATGAGCCCCGCATCGACCGAGACATACGGGTCGATCTTGATGCAGCTGACACGGAGGCCGAGGGTTTTCAGGAGCTGTCGTCGGACGGGTTAGAGCCAAATCGCCCTTTCAAAAATGGACAATTTACACGCGAGGGGGTGTCTACGGACCAGGCCCGTGGAGGAGGCAATGATGCCCTTCCCAACCCCTAGCCGTCGTTAGCCACTTTCTGTCTGACGCTGATGGTAGTGCGGGGTGGGAATACCTGAAATGACACCGCCAGTAACGAGAACGTAACGCATCGTGGTTGTCTGTCGAATTTCGATGTAGGGGATGGCAGGGAAGGGGGGAATGGGGTCGACAGCGTTCACAGTCGTTAACTGATTGCGGTGTGAAAATGGGAAAATTTTAACGCGACGCGATGAGAGGCAAAACTCAAAATCTGAGTGCGGGGCAGAGGGGCTGCCTGGACTCCACCGCCGAGTTCTCTCGCCTTGCTATCAGCTGCTCTCGCTCCCGCTCGTTTCAGCGTCGCCTTGAACAGGGATACCTTAACAAAACCAGGGGAAGGGTGTGCAGCTCAAGGGAGTGTGAATGAGTGAATTGTAGATTTGATGTTCGTGCGTGCCCATGTAACAATGCACACGTGCTCCCAAGATACGAACAAAGTACAGCAACTGATGAGGTCAGATGAAGTCAGATGAAAAGGCTTGTTGCGCTCGGAGGCTTGATAAGATCAGAGGAACAGTTGAATGGCCTGGCATTTTACCCCACATTCCTGCCATGGCGGGCGCTAATGCACCGAGCAGCGAATGATGGGCAAAAATGCGGGGCAGACTCGAACAAAAACACCAAGACCATCCTAACTTTCAACCTGACACCTTGACATCATCACGGCACCCTCGGCCTCAACCCTCAATGCGAACACCACCAACTCCCCGCATCATCAACATCCCCCTTTTCATCCCACACCGCCCGCCGCGGCCAAGCACAAAGCGGCCGCTGCCTCTTGACGCCCGACGTCGAATTGACCGGATCCTCCCATGTCGTCGCCACAACGCTCTCGACCGGGCGGCCCTTCTCCACCCAATCCACCAGCGCCAGCAGCGCATCATGCTGCGCATCCTCAAACCCGGGCACCGACCACGTATCATTGCCCAGCGCGCCGGCCTGCGACGGAGCGCCAAAGCTCCACGGCGCGTCCACCGCCGTCCCCGCGCAATGCTGCATCCCCGGCACAAGGAACATACGGAAGAAATCATCCACGCCGCCGTCATGGCCCGCCCCGCGTCCCCGTCCCCAGCCCAACCGCTCAAAGAACGGACCCCACCACCACCACCACCACCACCCGCGCCGCGCCGCGCCCAGCGCCTCCACCGTCCGCCGGTAGTATAGCTCCGTCCCCTTAGTCGGGACCAGTCCGTCCCCAGTGCCGTGGTACATCAGCACCTTCCCGCCGCGGCGCCGCACCGCTGTCAAAGCGGCATAGTCGTCGGCGGTGGCACGGCCGGGGTCGTGTCGGGCGGCGTATTGCACGACGCTCTCGTTGAAGGTGCGCCAGTCCCAGGAGGTGTTTGTGGCGGGGTCGGCGCCCATGGCGTTGCCGTCGAAGAGAAAGTTGCTCGCGTAGCCGACACCGTAGGGGGATGGTTCCGAGCCGTTGATCAGCACGTGCCATTGCGGCTCGGAGCCGGGGGTTAGGCCGGGGTGGAGGAATTCGTTGGTGGTGATGGAGCGGTAGTCGCTGTACATGTTATGGGCGGTGGTGAGTTGGGCGCGGGTGAGGCATGTTGGTGCATCGGGGTCGGGGTCGGAGTCGGTCCGCTTGGCGCTGGGGTTGGGGCAGAGGAGGGTTTCGAGGTTGGGTTGGCAGAGCTCGGGGCTGCTGATGATGCCGTCTTCGACGCCGTCGAGGGTGTCGCATTGGCGAGTGACCTCGTCGGCGAGGAGGGACACGTGGTCGTCGGTGAGGTGCTTGGGGTCGGTCTCGGGGAGGTTGTACAGGCCGGCCTGGGTCACGTAGGTGTTGAGGTGGGAGGTCCACCACGCGGCGGCACCGATGAGCGCGCCGTCGAAGCTGTCCGGGAACGTCTGCAGCTCTTTGAGCCCCTGGCGACCACCTGTCGAGCAGCCACTAAAGTACGAATAGGTTAGCCGCTGCTGGGCGTAGTACTTGCGCACGAGTTTTTTGCCCAGCACGGTCGAGCCGTGGATAGCGCGCCAGCCCCAGTCGGCCTTCTTCTCGGGCTGGTTATACGCCCATGTGCTGTTGGTCGACTTGGAGCTGTGCCCGGTGTCGGTTGAGAGCGAGGCCATGCCGTAGCGCGCGCCGGCGGCCCTGGATAAGTTGTGAGTATTTGCAGAGAGGCGCAGGTAAGTGAGCAGACTAAGTCAGTGCCTACATGTCGAGCCAGTTGATCCCCCCCGCAAAACCCCCATTTCCCACCACGAGTAATCTTGAATTCCACGACTCTGGCAGGAACAAGCCAAGCCGGTAGCTGCTCGTCGGCGAGCTTGTCACGCGCACGGTAACCGCACACAGTGGCGGGAGATGGGTCGGGTTTTTAGGGTATGCGACATTGGCTTCACCCTCGCCGTAGCTGTCGCCATCCCGCACCACCGTGACATTTTCCACAGTTGCGCCCTGAGGCAGCACGCCGACAAAGAATGCCCGGTCGCATGGTTGGTGTTCCCCTGACGGCCGTAGCCCTGGCCCGTGTTCTAAGCTGAAAGGGCTGCCAATGGAATTGAGGGCGAGCAGGACGGCGGTGCCGGCGACGAGCACTGCGAGGCGCGTCATGATCGTCAGTATCATCATACAAATTGTAGTGTGTGATATGTACCGGTTGCCCAGGGGCAATCAAGATCAATCTATCATGATGAGCGCAGCAGCGTGTTGGGACGGCCCCGCGAGCTATGTTATGGGTTGCCTGGCTATATGACTGGAGCTTCGCGCGGGATAGGATGTCGGCAGCTTGACTTACCGGCTGCGAGTATCCATACCCTGCCGCTCTGGGGGTTTTTTCTGTTGGATTCGGGATCTTTTGACGGCATTCTTGCTCGGTGGTGGTGGTGTTACATTTTCGAAGTTGTCAATGTTGGACCGCCCGCCCGAGATCGGCATCATCCGGTCACTTGATGACACCTGCCTTGTTTGCGAGCAGGGACACAATGCTGGTAAATCCGGGGCAGGAATTAATGCGACCGAGTGGTGACACCTGCAGTCCGGGAGCTCTGGGTCCAAAGAGGGGTTGCGAAGCCATGATCTGCCGGCTCAATTCGTGAGGAGCTCGAATAATGATTGCAAACGCTGAGTGGTCAGCCCAGTCTCTACTTTGGCAGATCCCCAAAGAATGCCAGAAACTCCCAAATAAAAAATACATGCAACTTATTTCTCTTACCGTGGAACCAAAGTGTCGGTTTATTAATGTACCCCAGATTAATTATTTCCCTGGGACCTTTACCCATTTGGCAACTTCCACCCTAAACACAGGTTCAGGTAGAATCAACAAATCCGCTTCGAATCGTTAATACCAAAGCGACAGATGGCAACTTCTAGCATTAACCACTGTTTTTCTAAAGTTAACCTCTGATGGTGACAGATGACATCCGCGAATGCCAATTTCACCTGACGATTTTAAACTCTCACGCGTAGCCCACATCACAGCCTGTACAAACGCACCGCCCTGCCGCCACTCTCCTGCAACATCTTCCGGTTCTTGTACCCATAAAACACTCTCAACCCGACTGCGCCCGCGACGACCACCAGCAGCATGGCGCAATTCACCCAATGCCCCGTCAGGAAACCCCGCTCTCTTTCCTCGGCCTTGTAGATCCAGACACCCGGAATCTGGCCAATGCCGGCGCCAAAGCTGACATTGATGGCGATGGCCAGGCCCACGGAAGCCGTGCTGTAGACATTGGACGTCAGCCATCCCAGCATGGGCGGGACGCACGCAAAGGATCCGGCGGAGGCCATAATCAGACAGCCGTAGCGTTGAAGGTAGGCATCCGGCGGGAGCAGAGCAGATGCCATGAAGCCGATGGCGCCGATCAAGGCGAAGCCGGCGCAGTGCAGGCCGCGCGCGTTGAAGCGGTCCGCCGAGTAGGAGCCTATGATTTGTGTAACTGTGCATCCAGAGTTAGTTAGGTGCTCAGTGCGTGATAAACAAAAGGAAAAAGGGGCAGTCGGCTCAAGACACCCAAAAGCACTCACCATAAGCCGCCGCATAAGGAGGCACCGTCATCAACTGCGCCTGCAAGTCCGCATACCCCAATCCGGCCGTGATGGACGGTGTGAACAGCGACAGCGAGCTGAAGGGCACCGACACGCCAAAGTAGATCAGGTAATGCCCGTACAGGCGCCAGTCCATCAACGTCCCCTCCGCATCCGCCCACGTCATGCTCCGATGGCTGCTCTTGCTCCCCTCCACCGCCAGCCTGGCCAGCGCCACCTCCCTCTGCCGGCCCTTCAAGAACTCCTCCGGATAATCCGGCAACAAAAACCACACCAACACCGCCGACGCGCACGACGGCGCCCCCTCAATGATAAACAGCCACCGCCACGCCGACAGCCCCTGCGCGCCATTCATATGCCCAATGCCATACGCAATCGCGCCGCCAAACGCCCCAGCCAGCGTCGCGCTCGCCAAAATAAACGCCACCCTTACGCTCCTCTCCTCCGTCCGATACCAAAACGTCAAATAATACACCAGCCCCGGAAACAACCCCGCCTCCGCCGCGCCCAACAAAAACCGCACCCCCGCCGTCGCCGCAAACGAACGCACCCCGCCCAACCCCATGGTAATCGCCCCCCACGAGAACATCAGGAAGGCCAGCCAGCGCGACGGGCGCAGCTTCTTCAGCAGGATGTTGGACGGCACCTCGAACAGGGCGTAGGCGACGAGGAAGACCATCAGCGCGATGTTGAACTGGTGCTGCGTCGCGCCGATCTCGGTCTGCATGTCGTTGTGCGTGGACGAGTTGAGGATGCGCGCGTTGCCGATGTTGGACCGGTCTAGGTAGCACAGGAAGTAGATGAAGGCGGAGAGGGGGAGGATGGTTAGGTCTTGGTGTCGGAGGACGGCGCGCTCTTCGGCGGCGGTGTAGGTTGGCTGTTGGAGAGGGAGGAGAATAGGTTGGTTAGTGACGGGTTGGGTGGTGGTGGTGGTGTGGTGGTGGTGGGAGGAGAGATCCATGATGGTGGGCTGGACTGGACAAACCCTCGGTTATGCTCGTCTCCGAGTCTTTGACTTCGTGCTGGCCCTGGGCCTGCCTTCTCGGCGTCGGCCTCGTGGATGGAATCGGACGCCATGGTGCTGGATGGCTGTCTGGCACAAGTCCGGGACACGGCGCTGTTGGAACCTGGGGCCGGCGGTGTTGTTAATAAGAGAAGCTTAGGGTCGGAGCTCCCCACAAAAGTCAAAAATAAAGTTGCGGGGATGCCCACAATAAGGAGGAAAGCACTTGCTCACTGCCTGGGGGCTGGGAACCTCAAAATCGTAGGGATCGGCGGACTTGGGGTCCTTGACCGCATCTATGGTGGCCGGTGGCCTGGGTGCTGGGGTTCTACACGATAAGCAACGTTGTACCAAGTACACCCACTCCAGTGTCTATAAAAATACGCCCCGGCCAATCCCCGCTTTGTCGAATCCCAACGACTCACCAGCCGGCTGAGACAGCCGAGTGGGACAGCCGAGTGCGGGGGTCGGGGGCTCCCGACAGTTGTGTTCGTTTGCTTCTCTGAGTTGCCATGGTTGGGGGAGGTTGACCTGCCTGTTTCGGCGAAAATGGGAGCAGCGTAACATTTGCCCGCACTGGGAGTCCCCAACCCCTATTCGATGGTTCCATGTCAACGACGTTGGGCTTCAACCAAGCACGGCAAGCCGAAAAGGCGGAAGCTTGTAAGATGCACCAGCCAATGATGGGCCGCTCTCGGCATGGTTCCGTGTTAAACTGCCGTGTGGTGCAGTCTTGTCCGGGGAATGGTTCCATTGCAGATCTCCAATTCCCGTTGCCAATGAGCGGCCAACCAGCTCTCAAGGGGGTGGATCGCAGCAACCCTGTGCTTGCGAGACCAGGCCGTAGAACACGTAATATCCAGCCCTCGGTAATCAACAGCACCGGCAGCTGGAAAGGTTCCGTTCAACTATTCGTATATTACTATCATTTTCCTGGCTCTTCTTCCTCCAGTCGAAGCTGCTTTTGGAATTTGATCTAACCTCCAGCTGGCAACTAGAACATTAAAACATGTCAGACGTTACGGCCAAACCCACAGCTGGAGAAAGCGTGCAACTGGATCTTGAAAGGCTGATTTCGGGTGGTGTTAAACCGTCCCGCATGAAAACCAACTATAGTCTACCTATATACCTAAGTACCTCGGGGAGAGTGGCGAGAAGAGGGACATTCTAGCCGTTACATGTAGGATCGCCACTTCGAGGCAACCTACTCCTTCATCCGGCGAAAAGAGACTGGAGACAGCCTGGTTCTTTTGCTCAGCCTTCGCGAAACCAGGGTTGCTTCGGAGCCTCGCGCGCCGTTATCCTTTTCGCCGGATCCAGGCTCGTCATCTTCAAGATCAAATCCCGGAACTCGGGGTCCACGGGCTCCCACAGAGAAAACGGCTTTTTGGGTTTCACCTCCGGCAAGAGGGCAAGCAGGCGCTCGACGTACTCGTTCTCGTCCCCAAGGTGCATCAAAAGACCGCGGAAGCCAGGCCAGTCGCCGAAGTATGAGATGTGATTGTAAAGGATTGAACGGCAGGCTTCGCCGTCGGTACTCGTACACGTGGCGGCCTCCTCGCCAGGCCAGAACACCATCTTCTTAAGCACCACATATATGGCCACGATCCCGAAGGAGTAGACGTCAGAAGCCATGTCTTGTTTCCCCCGAGCCCAAGCTTCTAGGCTACGCCATATCTGGTTTCCGGTCATGACCCCTTTAATGACCTTGTTTTGTGGGAGGCGCAGGGCGCTTTCCAGGTCGCCGATCTGTACACTTCGAACCTGAATATCTTGGTTGGCCGTTTCTTCGTAATCGACTAAAATGTTGTCGGGTTTGATATCTATGGAGGAATCAGCGACTCCCTGTTCCTCTTTACCAAGTTAGGGAATTTATGTTCATCGATAGTGTACGTACCCATATGGAAAATATTCCTGTCATGTAGTTCCGCGAGCCCGGTAAGAGCACTCCTTAAGACAGATTTTCTCAAGTCATCTGACAATGGCTTTTGCACGAAGCGAAGAAGGGTCGTGGTCAGGAAAGGATAGACCAAAAGTTCCCGATCAGGGATGGTGTCGACTAAGGTCCGGATGTTCGGAGCCGCTGAGAGTGGCTTTTATAGCTCCTGGTCGTACTCGAAAACGCCTTCTAGCAGACCTTTGATAACCTAGGTGTTCCCTTGAGCACTTCCGGGGGGTAACTTGTCATTAGTCCACGTAAACTACCCAGGGAGTTAGAATTATGGAATACATGCCTAGCGCGGTAGACACAAGGAAGTGGCTTCCTGTGAAGAAGGATCTCTTCAACAACGTAATTTTGCCCCGAGCTTCCCCGGAGAACATCTCCCACGACAAATGACTCGGTTCTTCGTGATAGAGCTGATGCTGTTGGCACTAGCCTCGAATACAACATGCTGGCCCGACCTAGAGCATCGGCGGAATCTCGACGTTCGGACGACATGAGTGAGCCAAAGAAACGACGCGGTATTGCGACATGAAGCCATTGAGGAATAACCACTGCCATCTTTCGTGGCATCATTATGAAGAAAGAAGAAGAAAGAAACGTTACGGAATAGAAAACATACCCACCCCTATTGTGGTGGGGGAAGTTGGAACTGATAAGCCACAAAGCCCAGATTAAAAAAAGCGATGCCGGTGAATCACCGTATCACGTGTAGGTTATAGATATCAGGTAGGTAGGTAGTTTGTGGATTTACTCAACATAATAAGTAGGTAGATAATGGGGTAGGCATCTGTTAGGTCGGGGTATCTGGGGTACTTCACCCAGAGCGAAGGGCGAGGTCTGCAATTGTAGTAGTTACAATAACAAAATGTTAGTTATTAAAAGTACAGAACTAGTTAAACTACCTACCTACTTATCCTGTCGTATCGTCGTGTGCCTCTCTCTCGCTGATATGGGAGTGGGCTGCACTAACACGGCGAAGGCCAACGGGCTACAAACAACGTAGCGAGCCTTACACTTCCTCCTCGGGCAAGTTTTCCCTTCATACTACCTCCCTAGCTACCTTTAGAGCTCACAGCCTGTGCGCTCAGCCTTCGCAACAATCCAACGTCCTCTACTCCGTCCTCACCCCGCCTCCCTCTCCCCAACCCACATAACATAAATCCCAGACCGACTCGCACCACCTTCATTCTTCCCGCATCCATCCCACCGCTCTTCCACATCCGGCACAGTACCCCACCCCATCCAGAACCTAGCCCCTTCCCACGACGACAAACCCTTCTTGCCTTCCTCCTCCCCTCCATCCTCAACACTCGCATTCTCCCACCACCACCACCACCCACAGCCTCCCCTTCACCCCTTTACAGCCAACGCTAGTAAACACAGAACCCCCCTCCCCCCCCCAAGAAAAATGCGGCGCCGCAGATGGAAGGGCCGCCGGGGCAGAGCAGCCCTGCAACGGTTGGCGAAGTCGACCCTGCATTAGAGGGAAGATGGGAACGCTGCGACTCGACTCTTTGATGGAAGTGTTCCCGGCGATGGAAAGGGGCGATGCGAAGGGGGAAAGGACGATGACATTGTCTCATCACGATCGACTCGGGAATACATGTGGTTGCTGAACAAGTAGATCTCAAGGTGGGCTAGACTTCGAGGTGTTTCAGTATTAACAAGGGGGATATCGAATGTCAGCGGCATCACAAAAAAGTCTGTAATTTATTCGTGGTGTACAAGGTCTCAGCCCTCCCTGTTGTGGCGTTGATTTCGGTGGATTGTGCTGCGCGACGCGGCCGCACAAGTCTCGAGTACTTGCATGTGTAATATATCGTGGTTTAGAGTTGTCTGTACTCTACCCAAAGGGATTCGGGGGCAAAGAGCCCTTATGCAATGTAACGACTCCCTACCCGATCGAGCACTATACGGCCTAGTTGACAGTGGAAGATCAGGCTGGGTACCTAGAGATGAGATGTCGGTACATAGGCACCTACCTAGGTACCTGTACTTAGCTGGGCAAAGGAGGTGATCGATAGGTAACAAGGCGTTTCTTAGCTATTATATGGATGGTGTACAACACCCGTTTATTGCACAAATTTGCTCTTGGTAATAACAATACAACATATAATGTCGTGGGGCTCGACTCGTAGGCTTGTTCAGAGGGCCCCCCTACCCCCAGCCGCGATATCCTCCGACACAATATCCATCGCCTTGTCTGTGCCCGAGTACACAACCTTCCACTTCCGCTGCGGGCCTCGGGGACGCAACTCAACGGGGATATCCTGATCAATAATAGGAAAGCCCGCCTGGGCAGGCGAGTTCTCCCACGTCGGCTCGACCCAGCGGCCCGCAACCGGTACCACATCAAACTGCAGGACCAACAACGCCGCCAACGACAAGATCTCGGTACTAGCAAAGTGACGCCCAGGACACAGCACATGGCCGCCACCAAATGCCCGGAACGCAACCCGATTCGGCTTCCTCCTCTTTTCCCTCCCCGCCGACGCAGGCACAAACCGCAGATGGTCAAACTCGGCCGCATCCTCTCCCCACGCCTCCCTATCCGTGTGCTGCACCGCGGCTGGAACCATCAACATCGCGCCCTTCTTCAACAACACCCGGCCCTCATCAATCCACACATCCTTCAACAACACGCGGGGACCCACATTCACAGCACGGAACCGCAACGTTTCTTGGAACGCGCTCATCAGCACGGGACACGCCTCCCTTACCGCCGCCAGATCGATCGTGCTAACACTAACGCGACCACCACTCTCCTCATCGACTTCCTCCCGCACGACGACCAGAGCTTCCAGCTCGCGGCGGACGTCCCCCAGCACGCGCGGATCTGACAGTAGCTGGAACAGCACCCAAAACGCGCAGGGCGTGGTGTTGCCCAGCACAGCGAAGGCGTTGCCCAGCTCGCCGCGGCCGACGTCGGCGAGGCCGAGGCCGAAGAGGTCCGCGTGGTGCTCGACGCGCCGGCGCACCAGCCCCGACCCCGTCCGCCACCCGCCCGAGACCATGTACTGCGTCATGGCGGCGGCGGCGACCTCGCGCGCGCGGTGCAGGGTGGGTAAAAAAGAAGGATGCTAGCGGGAACATGGACAGCGTCAGGAAGCCGGATTCGAACGTCGCTCAGGCGGAGGCCACGGCCGGGTTGCGGAAAGGGGTTGGCGGGGCCCCAGACCGGCTTCGGAGGTGGAGGTGACCATGATGCGGCGTGACCAGGCGGCGAGGTTGACGGTGGTGGTGGTGGTGCCGGGGGTGCGCAGGGCGGCGAGCTCGGCGACGTAGAACCTCGATGGCGCGGCCGGTTGATGGCGTCGAGGTCGGGGCCGGGCGCCATGGCCGGCATGATGTATTTGGGCCAGCTGGGGCTGAAGCCGTGCTCGCTGTCTAGGTCACGCCTCATCACCTCGAGGGCGGGCTTGCTCATGCCGACGACGGCGCCCGCGTCAGCGGCGATGGATGCGAAGCTGATGAGGCGCCATTGTTTTTGGAGGAGGGGGATCAGGGACGTGGCGTTGACGACGTAGATGCGCTGGAATGGGAGCCGTAGCGTGTAGATGGGTAGCCGGGTGGTGTCCCTTGTGTGGTGTTAGTTGCATGTACATGTATGTATTAGACGAGGTGGATAGGGGAAGGGAACGGGTTTTAGGGACTGACCTCAGACGCGTATGGAAACGCGACTTCTCCCGGATCATACCAATCAAGGGCTCGACGAAGGGAATACCCGTTAAGATGGCGGGCGGTTCCTTCGCATCCTGGGTCAGGTTGAGCAGCACACGGAGGAAAACGTAGGTAGCAGCCAGCCCGGCTAGTGCGATGCTGACTACGGGAGCCATGATTGAAGAACTGGGAGCTTTGGAACTTGACGGAGGGCGAGGAAGAAGCGTGATTTGTGCTTGGCGGTATGGGAGGGGCGGGACGGAGCAAAGACGCGGCACAGAACAGTCCCAAAGGGAGGTGACAGAAAGCTTTCAGCTACTTTCTCGGAATAAGGGTGGTAAGAAAGGAGAGAGTGAAACCCCGAGCGAGGAGGGTGTGCCGGGCCTTGCGCTCGGAGCCGGCAGGTCCTTGGCCGTGTTGATGCGGGATAGCTGCCTGTTCGATTTTGATTTGAAGATGGAAACTTGAAGGAAGATGAAAAGCTGAAAAGACCTGGGGTTTTGTTGGAAATTTGAGCCAACAACCAACCACTTCGTTACTCTTCTTCTGAGCAGCGCATGATTTGGCCCCCAACTTTCGATAACTAAACATAGACTCACCAATCAACATGCGAGTAATGGGCCCGATGGTCCAATTGTCGATCCCAGTCTTGCAGGGACAGGCCATCAGACAATACGCGGCGTTATTGGGCGGAATTCCGCTCTCTCCATGTCATGTCTGTTCTCTGCTGTCCCTGCTGTGAAGGCACCGTGCCGCACGCATTCACCGTAGCGTGTGTCTGACGAAGGCTTCCCGCCACATCTCCTGGGGGCTGAAGGTGGGTGGAACAAGGATGGCTGTGTGGATAAATGCGCCGCTGACTACATGTCTAGCAACTCGCCATCCAGACATGGAAGTGTCCAAAGTAACCGGCACACCGTTCCACAACGTCGCTTTAAAGTCTGGAAGAATGAAAAGAAAAGGCAGACCGTCGAGAAACCCGTTCTCTGGCTGGGTAGTCCCATGTTCTCCTCCACAGCCTCCATGTCCTGATTTTGGCATCGACGCATCATCCACGGTCCATGCGTCCACTGGCAAACGCGAGTCGCCAACTTGTTACTGAATAGTCCCCAGTCACTCCTAGAGCAAGAAGCACTACTCAGCGGTGGCCAGTCGAGGCTGGGTTTCAATATGTCGTTCATTAATAACGGCTTCCCTGCGCTAGTAACGGCAGATAAACACGCCACCTTATTCGCCCCAACGGGCAATGACAACATCGCCATTTCGGTTTTTTATGTGTGTACATTGATGATATAACTTCTTCTTAGCAATATTATTCTTACTAAGCGAGGAATAGGTCCTTAACTGGGTCTTCTTCGGCCTATGCGCTGTTGTTTTCTCCGTCCGCGTTTATATCCGCTTCGTCTGCTTCCGAAAATTAGCAACCGAGGACTACCTCATGCTCGTCGGGCTTGCTTTGCACAGCGCCCAGACCGTCTTGATTCAGCTTTACGTTGGCTACATGTACGACGTCGAGGCCGTCGAAAAGGGCGACCATTCCAAGATCAGCTCCGACTTCTTCGCAAACTCCAAGAAAGGCTTCACAGCCCTCGGCGTCTGCGTTTATATCACCGTTGTCGGCCTCCTCGTTATCAAGCTCAACTTCCTGCTCTTCTTCAAGCCTCTAGGCACCGGATTCCGCAGCTTTCATATCGCGTGGTGGATCGTCACCGTCTTTACTGTGGGTGGCGCCGTCGTACTGTGCGGCCTACAGGAGATTAGGTGTTTGTTTGGGCCCATCGACTACATTTTGGGCGGCGAGTGTGTGGACAAATCAATACTAAGACGTATCTTTGTGAAATCTGTTTTCTCGGTAGTTGTGGATGTTTTGTCGGATATCCTCAGTGAGATTAGCCCCTGACCCTAACCTAAGTGACTAATACTAGACCTCACTCACCATTATCGATCCCGACTGATTGTCTGCTTCTATCATAGTCCTCTGCTTCCCCATCTGGATCCTCTGGGGCAGCGGCATCAACAGGCGCAAAAAGCTCACTCTGAGCTTTGTCTTTAGTCTGGTGTGGGTGACCATCGCCATCAGTATCGTGCGCGGCACCGTCTTCCACGAGCAGTACACCATGGCGGTGTCTGGCCAGGTGGTTCAGAGCCAGAGTGCTACATTTACGTGGTTCTGGTTCCACGCAGAGTTGAGCGTGGCCTTCCTCGTCGCTTGCATCGTCTCCTTCCGCTCGCTATTTGTGCAGCGGGCTAAAAGGGAGAACGTCCTACGCCAGGAGAAGCAGCAGCGCGAGGCCGCCTACCGCAGTGCCATCCGCCACGGCCGCGGCTGGCGCGCGAAGTGGCAACAACTTAACGGGAGCGTGCTCGATAAGTGCAGGACCCTCGAAGACTGGCCTGGCAGCGACGCCGATTCCCCCCACGGCAGCTGCCACGGTCTTCCTACTGCGCCCTCGGGCCTCATGACGGTGGACTTTAATGACGACGCCAACTGGAAGAAGACCGCGGGGGGCGTTGTCCATATGACCACCGAGACTACCGTCCGGAAAACTGCCGATTTCTATCCACAGTCCCGGGGTCTCCAGTGTTCCCAAGGCCCTGCGCCGACGGGCTCGATGCATAGCGAGGAGGTGCTGCTGCAGGATCCGGAGGCGGTGCATGTGAGGCAGAATGAGTACAAAATAGGGGTAACACGGTAGAACTAAGATGAACGGTAATAGAATTGCACGTTTCTTCTGACGCAAGTCGCTCTCACAGCTTAGGTACCTTTGCGGACCTTATTCCTCCAAGTCACTGGCTTCTGCAGTCGCCGGGTAGTTCAATCTCCGATCCAACTTACTCAACCCAACATCACTGTGGCTCCCTCTACGGGTACACAGCGGCCGGTGAGAGGTTACCGTAGGTACATATTGACCCTTCCTCAAAGTTCAAGTATCTGAGAGGCCGAAGGAAGCCGGCAAAGCGTAAGTGAAGATTCGAAACGCCAGTGAGAGCTGGAGCCGCCAAGCTTGAGACGATTGGAAGAGAGCCCGGGTGATGTCCTGGTTTCCTGCTTCTTGTCAACCCCTCATTCGGCACACCCACCTACCTTAGCTTCCATAGGAACTCCAACAGGAATGGATAAGCAGGCATTTGGAGTATGGCGGGCAATCGTGTACCATCACTGCCGCGCCGCTTCAGCTCGCCGTCGCTCTTTTTCCCAGCAAGGAAGCACGCCTGGGCCATATTACGCGAACTGAATGCCATTGAGTGAGACAAGACTAACCGCTCGTAGTCACCGCTATTTTTCATACTCCTAACGGTATCTTGGGTGGCGAATTAGTGCGAATCTGCATTTACCGTTCCAAGTACAAATAGTAAGGGTTCAGTCATGAACCCGCGTCAGCGTCTTAGTTCACACCACCAACATTCCCAAGACAACTCAGCACGACGACATAACAAGCTTCTAAAAGTTTCAGAACTTTCCTATCCATTCCATCAGTACGCTCCTACTCTATGAGTCACATCTAGCAATGGAACTGACCGCCAATAGCTTTACAATGCTTCGCACGCTCTTCACGGTTGTCCTGGCCTTTACGGCTACGGCGATAGGATGCGAACAACGCTGTGGCGTCAACCAAGCACAGAGCAGCGGAAATACCTGCACCTACGACTGCCATGCGGATAACACGAGGTCAGCGCAGCAGAACGCTGCGAACTTCGCAGGTGC